CACAACAGTAAACATAACTTTGTTCCTTCCTGTGTTCTATGGTACCATTAATAATATATGTTTTTGTAAGATTTGTAAATCATTGCATTTTGTTTTTATTTACATTTTAAACAGCATCCCTGCTTTTTTGGTCATTGGTAATTGATATATAAATTATATATGCATATTCAGGTCTGGGCTCATATTAGATGAGAACTATAAGAAATTTCTTGTGTCCACATGTCAGGTGATGTTGCTTTATATCATCTGCAGAACGCACCGTAAAAATTTCAAAAATCAGCCAATATTTCCCACATATTTCATTTACATACAGTTTGTCTGTGAAGGTTCTCAGTCATCCAGGTCATCGTAGTCTATGGAGCTTGGAAAGAAAAACATTTGGACGTTTCACCTCTCATCCAAGAAGCTGAAGAAGAACTGAAGAAGTTTCTCAGATGAAAGTTGATGAGATGGATACTTCTCAGATGAGAGGTGAAACAAACTTAAAGAAGTCCACATGCTTTTCTTTCCAAGTTCCTTAGACTATATGTACAGTTAGGTCCATAATTTGTTGGACAAAGACACAAAGTTTGTAGTTTTGCCCCTGCACAGCACCACGGTGGATTTTAAATCAAACTATCAAGATGTGATCAAAGTGCAGACTTTCAGTTTTAATTAAAACAACAGCACTGCATTAACTGTTTAGAAATTGCATACATTTTTAGACAGCCCCCCCATTTTTAGACTAAAAAGTAATAAGCAGTTTCATGACCAGGTGTGGCCTGTTATTGTTATTTATGACAGATGAAGTGATACCTGAAGTTGTCTCATTATATTTATTGATTTCACTGTAATTTTAATTATTTCCATTTTCTCACACCGATGGCCGAAACCCGTTAATCACATAGTACATGAAACTTTTCATGGCTTTTTGTGAATTTCATTTATGCTAAATTTTATCGTTTTCAGCCTGTTCAGTCCCTCAAAGTGTATTTACAAAAGAGGAGAAGTCCTTAAGATATAAGAGACCTCAGTGTCCTGGAGATTTATTTTACCTGGGAGTAACCAGAGATTTTATGGGAAGACTTTGGTGTCACTGATCTGTAGTATGACTACTACAGAACTATAAAATGTTAGACTTCTACCCCAGTTTAGGGCCTTGGCTCTCTGAAGAAAAAGGAGGCATGAAGCTGACTTCCCTGGCTACTCTTGAATTTGGGTATTCTCACGTCTAGTTGGAAAGAAAAGGTCGCACAGATCACGCTTTGGACTGTATTGGCTCATTAGTTTACCTTTGCTGCCACCTAGTGGAATAGATATAAACTTGTAATAGACTGAACATAATATTGAGAGATTATGCAACAAAAAGAATATTCTGTATATCTTATTTTGTAACTAATCTAATGAAATATTCCTTTATGGATTAAGTGTTATCACGGTTTTTTGGCATTAGGACTATTTGTTATGTTATTTTCATTCTAATATGTAATCTTTGGCCACTTGATCCTATACTTTGAATGTAACTGCAATATCCAAGCAGTAGCCGACTGTTTTAATAGTTTTACATACTGAAGACCATTGTTATTCCAGGAACCGATTCTACCGGCTTTAAATGGCTTTGAATATTTATTTGTAAAAAGACTGAATATTTTGCATATCACAGAGGGGAAAACATGTAAATAGTTAAATTTACATAGCCACATAACCCAGCATGAAAACCTAAACTCCTATCTGTTTACAGTAAAGCAAGAAGCAGATGAAGCATGCAGGTTTTAAAAAAAAAAAAGAAGTAGGATCTGCACTGAAAAGACCTTGACAAGTCATCCAGTATCAATCAAATGCCAGTAACTTTTCTTATTGATGAGTGAGTGCTAAATGATGGAAACCCTGCAGGTCACATCTTGTCATTCCTCTGCAGAATAAGGGCACATTTTAGTGAGAATGAGATGATGAGATTTGAGCCCCAAGGGACACATGAAGTGTCTGGCATTTGTCTTATTGGAAGAGTGATCTACTCCTCACCCTTGCAAAAAAAAAAAAAAAAGCCAGTTGTGCAAAAGGCATCAAAAAAATCTTGTAAAAATATGGATTCACACAGATCTAAAAGAAGAAGAAGAAGAAGAAGAAGAAGAAGAAGAAGAAGAAGAAGAAGAAGAAGAAGAAGAAGAAGAAGAAGAAAGAGGGATCTGAGGTAAGTTTGTTTTTCCTTCTTTTCTTGTGAGAAGAGTGGAAGATAGAAAGAGGGCTTCATGGGCACAACTCCACAGTATCCACAGAGAGACACAGGGTTACCATTTCTGAATGACTGTAATGATTTAATCCTGGCCCATACCCTACAATAAACAGACTGAAATCGGCTAATAGCAGTTTTAGTTATTCTTTTCTCTCGGAAAATGTCATTATTTTTGTCAATAACTAAAATAAATGCTTGTAGATCTGTATGAGCTGATAATAGATTTGTTGATGAATGCCGGCCCATAGACAAATAAATTCACATTTACTGAATACAGTGGATATTTTTCTCCTTTTTTTGCTTCCTCGTAGGGGGCTTGTCTGATTGCTGGGGTCTGTAATGTTGTATGGTCTTTAGCTTGGAATAGAAAGTGTCTCGCGGGAACTGTTGTTGTGATTTGGCGCCAAATAAATAAAACTGGAGTGAATTGAATTGAATTTTGTGCACACATATTAATTAGCTAGATCAAAAGGGCAACGGATATAACTGGGTGATGGAGCAGTAATCCAGAATATATACTTTGGAATTAAGTTGTTATCTTAGCTGACAAAAAATATCGATCTAAACTAATTTTTATTTCAGTTTATTTTATTCATTTTTAAAATTTTATTTATAATGTTTTTTTTATTTTATTTATTTTTTTATTTCTATTTTACCCCTCAGCATGTGTGACGAATCTGCCGAGAGTGTACAATGGGCACACAGCGTGCGTGTGGCGTAGAGAAAGTGCTTCCCGGCGGCGGAAGCAGTGTTTACTTGCTCTCAGAGATTTCATCATTCTCTTTCTCGCATTACTCCGGTCCATGCTTCTTCGCGGCGCAGCATCAGCACTGCTGAGGACCACCACTGAGATTTTCCGCTCCTGCCCGGTGTCCACGGTCCGGTTTGTTCGGCAGTCGCTTCGCTACCCGCGTAAAAACCGGCCGTTTTCAACGTCGGTGTGCTTGTGTAAGAAGAAGAAAACAAGCCTGTGGCTGCAGCTGGCGGAAGGACAAACCATGGACGGCAACATTGAGGAGATTCTCGCCCCTTTGAGGCTTGCAGTGAAAGAACAGGTAATTGGGACTTATCGCCTTATCTTTATCGTTATAGATAAAGAGTGTTTGTTCTCAGTGTGATTAGATATATTTTAGTACCGCCCACTCTGTCACATTAGCCTTCTCGCTCGTAAGGCTAGCCGGCTAACACGACCCGGCTGCTCGCTGTCAATGAATCAGTTGCTTTCTAGCTAGCTGCTAACGTTAACTGTCAGTTATGTCTGCGCTCTCTGCCACGTTTCATTGAGCTGCTGCTGTTGCAGCTGCTTTTGCATACACTTGTGGAAAGGGCGTGGTTATGATTGGAAGCCAAATTTGCACTGCTAATAAAACAAAAAACAAAACAAAAAAACTACACAACACTGATCCTTCAGCATATTTTTTGTAAGCATGCCCATACTCGTGTAGTATGGTTTTGTTGGTTTATCTGTGTCTGAAGCCACCTCGCTCTCTGTTTAGGGAGACCTAGTTCGCCAAATGAAACAGGATGGAGCTCCAGATGTGGATATTACTAAAGCTGTAGCAGAACTAAAGGCGAGGAAGAGGACTCTGGAGGCCAAGGTAAGCAAATCAAGTCCACTTGAGCTCATGGTACTCTGGAGCAGTTGAACTTTAGATATATGATATGCTCTTCAAGTGCTTACACACCCCCAGACAGCCAGACCACTCTGAAAATACGATGCTTTTCATTAAAGCTGAGAAGTGTATCATCAGTCCACCTGGCTGGGATGCTGTGAAAACTATATCAAAATGACAAATCTGGGTTTTTGAGATCACTCTGAGTATTTTTAAGCCTTTTTCACTCTCTCCTGTATAAGACGATCAGATACTGAGCTATAAAAGATCTTAACATGTCTCACAAAATGATACCTGAGTCAGACCTGACAGGTAAACGAAAGCAAGTAAGAGGGTCCTGGAAGCAAAGCTATTATTATGGTTTTGTATTTTCTAATTATTTTTTTATTTTATTTTGACTTTTTGTTTTTAATTCAGTTTAGCGTCAGTTTGTTTCCAGAGTAGATTTGTGATTCAGTGTCGTTATTGTTTGGAAGTGTTTAATGTATTTTAGTGTAATATGTGGATGGCGTATGTCAATGCCAAAATTGAGGAAAATCATCACAGATTTCACAATAATAACACACAACCCTCTGAAAGCATTTTCATCTAGTTTTAGTTAACTCTAATAACCATGCCAGGAAGGCTCTGTGTTTTAAGGCCAAGAACAGACTTTAATGCTCAGATGTTGTTGTGATTTTAATCTTGGCACTTTGTATAAAAATTGCAGGAGTTGGCACTGCAACCCAAAGATGACATCGTCGACAGAACCAAGATGGAGGATACCCTCAAGAGGCGATTCTTTTACGACCAGGCCTTCGCTATCTATGGAGGTAAGACCTGGATAGCCAGCAGTGGAAATTAAGCTTTCGGTTAGTGCTTAAGCCAGCGTATGATGGCGTCTTTAAGCGTTCTGTTACCATGCAGTAATGCTCCTCAGGTGTGAGCGGCCTGTATGACTTCGGCCCTGTGGGCTGCGCCCTGAAGAACAACATCCTGCAGGCGTGGAGGCAGCACTTCATCCAGGAGGAGCAGATACTGGAGATCGACTGCACCATGCTGACCCCCGAGTCCGTCCTCAAGTAGGTGCACTGAACCTGTTGTAGTCGTGGTCTCAACATTTGTATTAGGCTTTAATAGGCTGTTTATTTATATTTAATAAAGGGTAATTCAGAAACTGCTAAAAAAAAAAAGGCGCCTAGTGGTTCCTAGAGTCAGCTCCAAAGTGCTGAACTGTGGGTTTTTGTTAACGGGCGCACATTGATTTCTGCGATTTTATGCATGGAAGCTGCCACTAATAGCAGCTTTCCATAGCCCGGTTGCAGATACACTGTTGAATGTACGAGTTTCTTTGGGATGCATTTTAAATCCTTGGCATTAATACACTTATTACGTTATTTCTTCCACCAGGACTTCAGGACATGTGGACAAATTTGCAGACTACATGGTGAAAGATGTCAAGAATGGCGAATGCTTCAGGGCTGACCACCTCCTCAAAGGTGAGCATGGTTTGCTTCTAGTTTTCCAGCACTGTGTAAACTAAAGGTGGATCTGTATTATTAATGGGACTCTGCAGACAGGAGGGGCAAACTGCTGCTCGTCACCTATTCTGAGTATTGCTGTTGTGCCTGAGGGGGGGGATGGAAGTGGCTGGACCAGCAGAAATCACGCAGGGCTTACAAAGTAATACAGCCGCTAGAATCCGAGACACTGGAACTGTACCAAGAGCTTGTGATGGACTGAGGACGTGTCCCAAAAGGCTTTTTATTTTCCCAGATAACACAAAAGTGTGTAATATTTATTAACAGAGGTACTTCAAATTACATGAGGAACAAAAACAAAACAAGCATGTTTTCGTGAAGCTTTTTAGTTTGCAGCACATTTTCACATATGGTCAGTTTTTTGTATTTCACGTACTGTTTGTTATCGTTATTGCAGCTTACAAAAACCTCGCAACTGTCATGAGTACACATCCCAGAGTTGTGACATTGTACAATGTAAATAAACATGAATGAATTTGCTGCCATTTTAACAGATTATACATTAGGAGATGACATAAATAGTGTGTGCAACCAATGTGGAGGACATATAAGGCCTCCTCTGGGTCTGTGGGGTGTGATTGGTTCAGGGGTTGTTGGGTGCCTTAGCCCCGCGGTCTCCTACCAGGTGGAATTAGACTTCACTTGTTGAGCTTCTTTTAATGCACAGTGTTAGCTGAGCACACACGCATTCACTCATACTTTTTATAATGACTATATTTACGTTGAGCACTGTTGTAGGACTCTCTGTAGGTGCTGGGGGCAGGCTGGGATGTTGGTGGGAAGTCACAAAAAAACAACAAAAACACCACTGTCTGGTTTTTCTGTGTGTTACAGCCCACCTTCAGAAGCTGATGTCTGATAAGAAGTGCACAGCAGAGAAGAAGGCTGAGATGGAGAGCGTCATCACCCAGGTCTGTGTTAATTGAGACAAAATGAGTCATGTTGAAAAACCTTTGTTTCTGACGTGGCTGTAAATCACTGATTTTGTATTTTTTGGGCTTACCGGTTTCCAGTTGGACAACTACACCCAAGAAGAGCTGTCTGACCTCTTCGTAAAATACAGCGTCAAGTCCCCTACCACAGGAAACGAGCTCACACCTCCCATCTCCTTCAACCTGATGTTTCAGACGTCCATTGGACCAGGGGGGAATATGGCAGGGTAAAATGACTCCTCAGCACTGTGCAGAAACGTTTTCTCACATTTGTGTCATTAATTTTGATTTTTAATCAATCTGCATTTGCAGCTATCTGAGGCCTGAAACAGCTCAGGGAATATTCCTCAACTTCAAGCGTCTTTTGGAATTCAACCAGGGAAAACTGCCATTCGCTGCTGCTCAGATAGGAAACTCCTTCAGGAACGAAATCTCTCCTCGCTCTGGACTCATTCGTGTCAGGTGAGGAGGGGGTGTGTCCTCTGGTTCAAATAATATTTTGTTTTTAAGCTGAGAGAGAAAACGGGAATGTGACTGTGTGATATATATATTTTTGTGCAGAGAGTTCACCATGGCTGAGATTGAGCACTTTGTGGACCCGAATGAAAAGGATCATCCCAAATTCCCCAACGTAGCTGACCTGGACATCATGTTATACTCCTCCAAGGCTCAGACCAGCGGCCAGTCTGCACAGATCATGAAGCTGGGAGACGCTGTAGAGCAGGTGGCCATAACACTGGAACAGCAATGATGATGTCAAATCCAAAATAGTCAGTTTAAGAGTTTAAGATGAAAAGCAACAAAAAATGTATCTTGTCTCACTTAGGGAGTGATCAACAACTCCGTCCTGGGATATTTCATCGGGAGGATCTACCTCTACCTTACTAAAGTTGGTATTGCCAAAGACAAGCTGCGTTTCCGACAGCACATGGACAACGAGATGGCTCACTACGCCTGTGACTGCTGGGATGCCGAAGCCAAAACCTCCTACGTACGTCCCACTGCAGCGTTTCCTCACAGCTTTATCAGCTTCTTTGTATGCTGATGCTCAAAGTAATGTTTGTCCCCTGCAGGGCTGGATCGAGATCGTAGGCTGCGCTGACCGGTCCTGTTACGATCTGCAGTGCCACGCACGGGCCACCAAGGTCCCTCTGGTTGCTGAAAAGCCTCTAAAAGAACCCATATCCTTAAATCAAAGTAGAAACACAACTTCAGAGAAAGTCCCAAAACACGAAAGAGCCTTTTGATGTTGGTGATCGGTGTTTCTCCTTAACTTCTCCACACAAAACTGTAAATGTCGTCCAGTTTGAGCCCAATAAAGGAGCCATTGGGAAGGCCTATAAAAAGGATGCAAAGATAGTCATGGAGTACCTCTCTGTGTGTGACGAGTGCTTCATTACAGACCAGGAAAAGCTGCTCAGTGAGAGTGGGTGAGTGCAGTGGCTAATCCTCATACTGATGGTTGTTTCAAGTACATTTTCAGGAAAGAGTTAGTTTTTCAAATTTGTGCTCCTCAGAGAGTTCACCATTGAGACAGAAGGCAAAGCGTTCAAACTCACAAAGGACATGGTCAGCGTGAAACGATTCCAGAAGACTCTGCACGGTGAGTTTCACTCAAGAGAAACGTGAGGGGAAATGATACCGGAGCAAGCGGTTTTATAATGTCTCTGTCATCCACAGTCGAGGAAGTTGTTCCCAACGTGATCGAGCCCTCGTTTGGCATCGGTAGGATCATGTACACCATCTTTGAGCACACATTCCAGGTCAGAGAAGGCGACGAACAAAGAACGGTAAGTCTGACAACATCGATGTTTCTGCCCTTACAAAATGACACCATGTTCAGTGCTGCTGCACTCATCCTCTTCATCTATTTCTTTATGATTCGATTTTGATCTGGAACGTTGAATCCTTGTGATTGATTAATGTGTATTTTACTAACAAGTTAAAGAGTAGCACTTAATTTCATTTGCCTGATTTTGTTATATTGTTGTAGCTCCTTACAGAGTTGAGTATTTTTGCATGCTTTGTTTTATTTTTGCTGGTTTCCTTTAATGATGTGTCTTCATTTTCACTGCAGTACTTTAGCTTCCCTGCTACTGTCGCTCCTTACAAGTGCTCCGTCCTGCCTCTGAGTCAAAACCAAGAGTTCATGCCTTTTGTGAGGGAATTATGTAAGTGATTCCAAAATCAAACATCCTATTTCAGTCAAAGAAGAAAAATGGCACTTTCTCCAACTGCTTTTTTTCTTTTCTCCTTAGCGGAGGCGCTGACCAGAAACGGCGTATCTCACAAGGTAGACGACTCTTCAGGATCCATCGGGAGGCGCTACGCCAGGACGGATGAGATCGGAGTGGCGTTTGGAATCACCATTGACTTTGACAGTGTGAACAAAACGCCTCACACAGCCACTCTGAGAGACCGTGACTCTATGAGGCAAATCAGGGCCGAGGTACTGCTTCACTTCACTCCATTTTTACATGCGTTAGGGCTGCGCAGGTAAACTCTAGGGCGGTGCTTTTGTCACAGCACAGAAAAACAGAAAAAACTGAGCAACCATGGTAGTGATTTTCATAACCTTTCACTTATTTTTCATAACCGTTCATTCATTTTGTGTGGTTTGGTATGAAAATGGTCTCCAAAACATAGGCTGTACAGTAGAATTGGTGTTTAATGTATTCCATTTATATAGCGCCTTGCTTGCCTGGCTGCAACGAGGCTGAGCTTCTTAGTGTGGCAGCAGATGATGTATTTCAGTCTGTTTCACTCACATTTCATGGAACAGAGATTCCTCTTTTACTCATCAGTACAGCTGCATGCATAAACTGTGCAACAACAACAAAATCAATTGTGTTTTTAGGCTTTAAGTCCATTTTCTCTGGTTTACACTTGTGTTGGGCTCAGAGTGATGCCAAGACACGAGCCATACATATCTTTGGACTTGATTGATAATTCTTTCGACAGTAAAATTACCTGCAACATGACTTAACCCTACTCCAAGTGCATTTCACCTCGAGTTCCACACACACCATATAACACCATTAAGTAAAAACGCTCCTCTTTTTCTCTCCTCACAGGTCGGCGAGCTGCCCGTGATCGTTCGGGATTTGGCCAGCGGCACATTGACCTGGGCGGAAGTGGAGAGCAAGTACCCCATCTTCGAAGGACAGGAGACCAGCAAGAAGGACACGAGCGAAGAGTAGAGTTCTCCCGTCTGCCAGCCACTTCATAATAAATCCACAGACTCGTTGCTTATGCACCGCCGCGACGATTGCCGCGACTGGATTGTGACGAGCTGTAGTGGCGCACAGAGCCCTCTTTGTGATGCACACCACTGCAATCACTAAATTGTCATGTATTTATCATATCTTAACAGTTGTGGTAAAGCTTGCACAGGACTGTTGTTTCATTGACGAGCAGCATTTCATCCATGCACGACCATGCCAATACGATGTTAAAAGGGAGAAATGTAATCAGGGTGTTTTCAGTGGAAGGAAGCGTCCACCATTCCAGTTTCAGGCAGATCTGATTGAGATATTTAACAGTTTCAATAAAAAGAGTCGGCACTTACAGGACACGGACAAACAGCTGTGATATTTTCTTCTTGTTTTTGAGCCACTGCTGCTCAGCGATCTCAAAAATGTCTTCTTAAGCTTACGGTAATTCAGGAGTTTTTAAGATGATCTCCAAAACTAAAATCTTAATGCTCGGAAATTTAAACCATGTTTTGAATGTTTGCTTTTTTCCCCTCCAGTGGAAAAAATGTGGACTAAAAATGTCCAACGCATCAGTTTTATTAGTTTGAACATAAACTGTGTATCAGAGCCAACATGAATGAAACAAGTAAATCCAGTGTGATTTAA